ACTTTATGCTGCCTTTATTGATCTTAAAGCGGCCTTCGATTCCGTTTCTAGATCTATGCTATGGAGTAAACTTGAAGCCTCCTCAATAGATAGGAGACTTCTAGCCCTCATTCGTGCCCTCCACGAACATACATCTTTGAGGGTTAGATATTCCAGGCTGGGGCACTTGACTGATAGAATTCCCACCTTAAAGGGAGTTAGGCAAGGCTGTATGCTAGCTCCTGCTCTATTTAATTTTTACCTCAATGATGTTGTTGGGTACCTAGATGATGCAGATCTTCATCCCCCCAAATTGGCTCAGCGCTCTATCACGATACTGTTATATGCTGATGACGCTGTTATTCTTTCTAGAACCCCAATTGGAATGAGAAGGGCAATTAAGAAGTTCGCTTGCTATAGCAATGAGCAGGAGACCCAAACTAAGGAAGTGGAGGGTAAATGGGCAGAACCTCGAACAGGTAGCTAGTTTTCGCTATCTGGGCATGATCATCCAAGCCTCTGGATCTAGGACTGCCCATAGCCAGGCAGCTGCTTGCTCGGGTGAAAAATCCTCTCATGGCATTCTTAAGTTTTTTAGCTCCCAAGGGGGCTATTTTGTACCACCAGCTTTAAAACTTTACAAGGCCAAAACACTTGCCCAGATGCTCTACGGAACGCTGCTTGGAGTGCCTCCATCTAGCTATGCTCCTTTGGAGCTAGTCCAATCGAAATTTTTGAGAGCAGTGCTCCAAGTTCCGAGATGCGTATCCAACGCAATGGTACGGCTAGAGACTGGCATGCTGAAGGTTGAAGCCATGATTGCCTTATACTCCATCTTCTATTGGCTGAAGATCAATTTGAACCCATGTGGACTAGTGCCCCTGATTCTGTCTGATGCCTTTGAATCTAATTGGCTGATTTCTGTTAAGCGGAAAATCTCGCTCTTGGGGTATTCTCCCTTAGCGCTTTTGGAGATGGGTAGGGACCGAGCTAAGTTAGAAATAAGACAGAGGATCAAGGATACCGAACGTCAATTAGATCTACAGGTGTCCCCAACATTTATAGCGCCAATTAGAATTAAATACATGGTTGCGCAGGCCCCATATCTTAACGTTTTGGAGTCACGTAAACTTAGGAGGGCATATACTCTGGCCAGATGCTCGGCCTTACCCTCTGCAGTTCTTGAGGGTAAATTTAAAAAAATACCCCGAACAGAGAGGCTATGCTTGTGTGCGTTGGGGGAGATTGAATCTCAGGAACATGTGTTCCTAAGATGCCCGGTATTTGAAGAGGCTCGTACTAAACTTATTAATCCCCTTCTGGCAGGCACTTCAGATCAGGACAAGGTGGAGAACTTGTTTCTTAACCTTGAACACACAGCGCTCTATCAGATTGCGAAATTTTGTTCCTTGGTGGTAGAAGCGCATCAGCATGATGGTTGGCACTCGGGTTAGGACTGTTGATTTTAACTCGTACCGTTCCCTTTGGTAATATGTTTTATTCTTTTATACTATACTGTGTTTTATGGCAGCGCACTCTTAGTTTGGTTTTAACAAATGTAAAGTTTATATTGTTAGCACCTTTTACCTTGCTGATTTTTGGAAATTTTACTATTTGGCCATTGTAATTTATTTTTTCTGGTTTTATATTGCTGGCTAATCGCTGTTACAATAAAATTCAATTCAATTCAATATGACATCTTGTGATTTGGGTGGTATGCCTCTGTTGATATACCCCAATATCTCATTAGCCTTTTTTGTTGCTGTATCACACTGGCTGCTCATATTTAACTTACAGTCCACCCATGCCCCAGAATCTTGTTCACACACACTGCTACCCAGAAGTGTATCCCCCATCCAGTATACATGTTCCTCAGTAGAAATCGGCATTTATCGTTAAATTGCTCTTGTTCGCATCCACCCACTTTTCCAGTGTATTCAGATCTCGTTGAAATCTGTATCTTCTAGTTTGTTCGCTACTCCTCCCAATTTGCTGTCATCTGCAAATTTAATGTGTAGCCCTTCCAAATTTAATGAGTTAGCATCTCATTGCTTTTACAATTAGATAAACCTCCTTCCCCAAGCATTATCTACATAAGTGACCAACTTGGCACACCATGCATATTCATTCTGTCATGTGTTTGCCTGGTCGTCTGTACTACCCAAGTGTGTGTGTGCGTGTTTTCCTGCTGCACATTCTTATATGTTCTGAAACTTGAAGTCTTTACTAAGTGGTAATGATGCCCTATGAATTTCATTTGTTAAGTTCATTGTTTGTATTCATCCCATGATTTGGGTTTGTGCATGTGGTATGAGTGTGCAAAATAATCCATACTTAATTTTTCTCTTGTGTCACAGGGAGGAAGTTTGTGGCAGAGGGTGTGCTATATAATAAGGAAATAGTATATACGTGTTCTCTCTCATACACACACACATTTTCTGCATGCTCCTACTTTCAATAATCCATATCTGGCACTGAGATATATCACTTCAATCTCTCACCTAGAAGGAAGAGAACGTGTAGAATGGTTACACAAACAAATATTGTTAGATTAAATCTGGTGCTGAACAAGTATTCTCTCTGTAGCATATTCAGCTGCTTTGTTTTGTATTTGGTTATTGAGTACATGGTGAGTGCAGTGCTATGTCTGTTTTTAATTATACTGATAAATAAGAACTTGGACTTGTGACAATCAGATTTCAGAGGAGAGAAACTTCATTCTTATGCAAATACTTGTTTTCCTTGACAAAACGGAAGCCTTTACAATACATTGAATAATCATTTTAGTAGCCTTCATACTGCCACTCGACTCAGGGTGCGTATAAAAGAATCCTAAATGAAGCAAATGTCTTTTATAAGGATAGCACAATCCTAAGCAGAGTTATGCCTTTCTGAGTCCATCGGAGGCAATGAGTTTAGAAGGGTTTAATTCTTCTTCGGATAGCTCTGTACTCTCAGACTGGACATGGCTTTACTATGTTCTTTACTATGTTCTTTACTGTGTTCTGCCCTTTTTACCTCTCTGTTTTCCAGTATATTTGAGAATAAATTACCCAGCCTTCCTCTGCTCACAAGTTATAGGAAATACTGAGGAAAAAATCATATAAACTGAAGAGGGAAATAAAAATGTTGGATATTTTAGCTTATTAACATAAAATGTGCATGCCCCTGACTTAAAATGATAATGGATGAGATAATTTTTGTGTGCTCCCATAACTTCCAGGTTCAATATCTGGTCATATTGAAAAGAGCATAGTCAGGGGTCGTTTCCTGCCGGAGTGCCCCGGAGTGGCACTCTGGCAGTGACGAGCCGAGCTCCACCCCCTCCCGAGGGGGGAGAATTAAATGCCTGGCTTCCCCACAGCGGGACGATCGCACAGGGAAGCCAGGCAGACATGCCCTCCTTCCCTCCTGAGCCGCTCTGCTTTTGTGGAGAGACTGGGGGAGGGGATTTAAATGCCTGGCTTCCCTGGCCAGCTGGAGACAGGAAGGGAAGCCAGGCAGACATGCCCTCCTTCCCTCCTGAGCTGCTTCACTTTTGCGGAGAGACTAGGGGGGTGTTTAAATGCCTGGATTCCCTGGCTGGCTGGAAACAGGAAGGGAAGCCAAGCAAACATGCCCTCCTTCCCCCCTGAGCTGCTCCGCTTTTGCGGAGAGACCCAGGGGGTGGATTTAAATGCCTGGGTTCCCTGCACAATCTTCTCACTGTGGGGCACTCAGAGAAGATCAAGCAGGGAAGCCAGGCATGTCTGCTGGGCTCCCCTTCCTGTCTCCAGCCAGCCCCTTTGAGTCATGTCTCTCCCCCCCCCAAGCCCGCGGGAGCCAATGGCAAGGCTGAAAGGGGCTTGAATTGAAGAGATCCAAGCCCATTTCAGCCTTCTCCCCCCCCAAGCCCGCGGGAGCCCAAAGCAAGGCTGAAAGGGGCTTGAATCTAAGAGATCCAAGCACCTTTCAGCCTTGACTCTCCCCCCACAAGACCGCGGGAGCCAATGGCAAGGCTGAAAGGGGGTTGAATCTAAGAGATCCAAGCCCCTTTCAACCTTCTTTCCCCCCCCAAGCCCGCGAAAGCCCAGGGCAAGGCTGAAAGGGGGTTGAATCTAAGAAATCCAAGCCCCTTTCAGCCTTCTCTCCCCCCTTCCAAGCCTGCGGGAGCCCAGGGAAAGGCTGAAAGGGCCTTGAATCTAAGAGATCCAAGCCCCTTTCAGACTTGTCTCTCCCTCTCCCCCAAGCCCAGGGAGCCAAGGGCAAGACAGAAAGGGCTTGGATCTCTTCGATCCAAGCCCTTTCACCCTTGCTTTTCCTCCCCCTCGCAGCCCACCCAAGCCCACAGGAGCCCAGGGCAAGTGTGACAGAACTCTTAGATCAGGGGGTGTGGCATATGCAAACAGGTTATGCTAATGAGTTATGCTAATGAGCTCCTGCACCTCTTTTTCTATGAAATGACCCCTGAGCATAGGTATAAAAGAAGGCTCAGAAACCCTCTGCCTAAGATCATCAAGAGCAGCTGCCAGTCAGAGTAGACAATACTGGGCCAGGTATCAGATCATATGTCAGCTTCATATGCCCATATCTTTTTATATTTATATTCTGAATAATTCATACCAACTAAATGCCAAAAAGTGGCAACATAGAGGCTAAATAAAGGATAAGTTGAGTCCTCTCTGACAAGACAACTGTGTTAATACTCTCTTGTCTTTCTGTCTATCCATGGGGTGTCACAAGATAGCTTAAGCTAACATTGCTCTGATGACAACGACTACAATCCAAAATGATTCCACCTGAAATGTTGTGTAATCATTATTGAAAAGATGCAAATACAGAAAAGAGGCCCAGAGCTATCCTCTGGTTATGAAAGACCTATACATATGTAGCGTCAAACAATTTTCTTGCCTCAGAGGGAGGGAAGTGGACAAGGGCATCATAGTGGTATATTTACACAACATTCATGCCAGAATTGCATTGTTTTATTACAGTATGTGGTATGTGTTTCACTGAAATGATCTGTCCTTTTACCATACCAGTGACTATGGATTTGAGCGTCATAGCAATGGCCAGTGTTTGCCAGCATTTTGGTACAATCCATCTTCCTTGTCCAAAGACTGCAGTCTTGGTCAGAGTTATCTCAACAGCACTGGGTGAGTTACCAAATATGGTTCATGCAGATTCTCGTTGTGAATGGTTGCTACACTTTTCTTATACTGGCCCACAGACTTTTTGTAAAAGAGAGGCAAACAGTAACAAATGCAAAAAGTTAGTCAGTCCATACATCTCAGTACATATAATACTACATCAAGGATATACTTTGGGTCTTCTTTATTGGTTGTGTACTGTCATTTGAAAGAAACTCTCCTCCACATTAAAATTTATCTTTCTGTAAAACCGTTATGTCATACAGAAGTCCTGGTTAAAAGTATTTCCCTGGCATGCTAATTTCAGTTACCAAGGGGTAGCCATGTTACATATCTGACTGACAAAGTGGTCTGTGACTCACAGAAGCTCATATTGAAATAAATGTTGTTAGGTTTGATGTAGTGGTTAAGCGTGGCAGACTCTAATCTGGAGAACCGGGTTTGATTCCCCACTCCTCCACATGCATCCAGCTGCGCAACCTTGGGTCAGTCACAGTTGTCTCAGCTGTTCTCTCAAGAGCAGTTCTCAAAAGTGCTCTCTCAGCTCCACCTACCTCACAGGGTGTCTGTTGTGGGGAGACGAAGGGAAGGTGATTGTAAGCCACTCTGGGACTCTTTCAGGTAGCGAAAAGCAAGGTATAAAATCTAGCTCCTTTTCTTTTTGTTTTTAGGTGCTGTTAGACAGTTGCTTTATTATGCTGATTTTGCACATGCAAGGGAATTTTAACATGGTGATGCATTCAAACATGCTGTTGCAAATGTTTCTGTCAGATGGTACAGCTCAATAAGCACTGAAGCATGAGTGCAGTCGGCATGTGAACTGATTCTGTGTTCACTTTGCTTACAGTGGCATGAAAATACTTATCAAAAGCAGGTATCACCAGTGACTTAAATACACTGCAGTGGGGAAAGGGGCAATCAACCCTTCAGCAGGGCATTTGTTGTCTTCTCTCAATGATGTGTACGTAGTGCAATCAGTAACACAGAGAGAGGCTACAGCTCCCCAGTAGAGACAGTTCCATTAGAACCAAATAAGTTGAAGGAACTACATGTAAGGAGGAAGAAAGAGTAGAAGGAGTGGGTGGGGACTCTGCAGGCTGCAGCTTTATCTGAACCCATTTCCTACCTGCCTGCTGCGTTCCTGCTACACATGGTGCCTTCCTGGTGGCATTTTATTTATATATCAGATTTGTGCCCTTTCTACTGTGCTACATAGTTTATCTGTTTATTTATTAGATTTTCTTTTAGTCACCATTCACCCAAAGGGTCTCGTGGTGATTTACAACATTAAAACCATATAAATAAGGTAAAACCAACATAAAAACAAATAACAAATATAAAATATTAATGTTAAAATGTTAAACTATTACAATAGGTGGCTATTTCCATACCACTAATAAAAAAACATCCCAAACATGTGGATTAACTAAACAATTTTGCCTTGCATGCCCTGTGAAAATTAAAGTCTGGCAGGTACAGGTACAGGTGTCATCTGAGAGTGCGTTCTACAGGGTAGGGGCCACAACTGGAAAGGCCCTTCCCCTGGTGACAGTTAACCAAGCCATCCTGGGACCAGGCACCTGCAAGAGGCCCTTAGAGGATGACCAAAGGAGAGGAAGTCCTATAGGTATGAGGGTCCCAGGCTGTTAACGGCTTTAAAGGTTAACACCAGCACCTTGAATCAGATCCAGAGAATGTTTGGTAGCCAGTGCTGTTGCCATGGATTTGGAGTAATATTTTATTTATTTATTTATTAGATTTATATACCGCCCTCCCCGGACGGGCTCAGGGCGATGTATGAGCTGACCATGATGTTCTGAACAGCAACCAGCTGCATTCTGGACCACCTGCGGTCTCCAAAGTGTTTTCAAGGGTAGCCCTATGTAGAACAAATTGCGGTAGTCCAATCTGGAGGTGACCATTGCATGGATCAATGTGGCAAGATCTGACCCAGACAAATAAGGAGCTAGCTGGCAGTCCTGACATAGATGAAAAAAACACTGACAATGCTACCATGGATACTTTTTTGATCCAATGATAGTGCAGAATCCAATCACATGCCTAGGCTCTTTACAGAGCTATCAATTGGACACCATTGAGTCTCAGGCATGATCCTCCAGCTAGCATCTCAGTCTTTCCCAGCCACATTACCTCCATCTTGGATGGATTCAATTTCAGCCAGCTCCCCCTTTATCATTGGATTACTGCATCCGGGCACTGGGATAGTGCCAACAGCCCTGCCGCCAGCTGCTTATCCAGAAGGAGGAAGAGCTGAGTGTCATCAGCATATTGATTTCACCCAACTCCAAACCTCCTGAGGATCTCAAGAGGGTGCATATATATGTTAAATAACATCAGAGAGAGGATGGAACCTGTGGAACCTCACAGGTTACCTTGCCAAATGCCTCCATTATTAAAGGGTGACTCCCCCCATCTAAAATTTGGCAGGGAGGCTTTATTATTTCTTTATTTAGATTTGTATCCCACCCTATCCCGCAAGTGGGCTCAGGGTAGGTGAGTGGTAAAATTCCTAAAATTTTAACTCCCAGTAGAGTAGGAGAGGAGAATAGAGGCATGTTTTCCACTGCAGTCAATGGAAACAAAAATGAATTGAAAAATTACTGGCAGAGGAGACAAAAATCACACATTTATTCCATCAATAAAATGCAAATTGCATGCTTATGCAGAATCACTTTGCCTCGAGGCTATGCAAGAAAAGGAGTGGTAGCTTCTCCCCAGTTCTGCTATTCCAAATCAAGTTCCCTGCTTTGCCTTCCCAAGGCAAATTGATGCTAAATAATTCTAGATTTTTCATTTTGTGGACAGAACATCTCATTTATTTGAGCCCTAAGACAAATATATTTAATAAGAAATATAGAAAAACCAAATCAAAATTTAAAAAATAACGATAATAGATGAAAATGAAACTTTGTGTGTGCATGTCAGGACCAGTGGCTGCTGCCACTCTGTTTCTGCGATACCACCAGTGACATTTGTGTCTGCCAACTTTTGCCTATACTGGGATACCCATATCTGATCCCTTGATCTCTTTTTGTAACTGAATATAAGAACATCAAATGGTGCTAAAGTTGTACAATTAAGCTAGTTAGTGATTAGGTTGCTTTAACTAGTGGGCATGTGATAGTGACGGTCTGAGAGAAGCAAATGTCCCATGAAATAAAGAATCTCTTGTAGCTCTGCCTTTAGCCGCTCTGTTTCCCTTTTTCAACAGGTATAGGAAGGTTGTATCTAATAACTGCACAGATGGTGTGCGTGAACAGTACACAGCCAAGCCTCAGCAATGCCCTGGCAAGGCTCCACATGGGCTTCGAATTGTCACTTCAGATGGCACACTGACATCCGAACAAGGACACAATGTTACCTTCATGGTCCAGCTGGAAGAGGTATGGTCAATTTCATACGCTTCCCACTTGGAGCTCTTGAGTCTGAACCATTTAGGAGAAAATGGATAAAACAGAATGCCATGAATCCTGTCAACATGACCTTACTGATCAATGGCTTGATCTCAGGTTTCAGATTCTGACAAATTCAAGCTGTCTATCTGAACCCCTCACACACACACAATAAGCAAGCCACTGTGATTCAGTGTGCCATGGCTTGCAACCTCTGCATGTCTCCACTTCTGCTGTGTCTCACTCCTTGAGATATACACTGGAGTATGAAGCTAACAGGGCTAGTGTTGCAAAGAAAATGCTGAGGCCAGCGTGTGGCAGACAGACAAGCAGAGGTGGTGGTTGCAGTGGTGAACTCTGTAGCCACCATTTGTTTTGAAGGGCAAAAGAAATCTTTCTAGTCCAACAAGTGGTGCCTGTAGTGGTGAAGATTACTTTACCACCTTATTTACATGATGACTTGAAGCTGATGTCAAATGTATTCTATCACCCTAAAGTAATTATGTGAATTCATCCTAACTGATAAAACCAAATTTCAGGTCCTTTATCAAGGATTATGATTGCTTCACTGGCAGTCTTTAACCAGCGTCCGGACAAATACTTGTCAGGGATATTCTAGGCTGATCCTATATTGAGCGGGGGGTTGAACTAGATGGCTTGTATGGTCCCTTCCAACTCTGTGATTCTATGATTCTATGTATTGCACCTGCATAGTAGTGGAGCAGACAAGGAGCAGGCAGATTTCATTTATGCAGAAATCAAGAACAAACCTCACCCATGAATAGCCATTGTTTTATACATTAGGGAATGTATGCTACAAAACGAACTGTAGATATTACTGGAATCAAAACCACATACCAGAGTCAGAAAATTACTTTCATACCACTAAGTGTGCAATGTTTTAAAATCTAGTCCTCCACAAGGCTATGAAAATATAGCTTTGTGGGAATTACAATCACATTAGTAGTAGCTCAGGCAATCAGGGGCCTAGGATTTTTTTCCAGACCTGCTCCCTTTCCTCCAAAGGATTTTGGTTATGAAACTTGCCTCATAAGCCTCTGGTATTCATTTCCTAACGCAGTGGGTGCATTCAGACGGGGCATTTGAGCTGGTATACGAGCTGGTTAGAATCGGAGTACTTACGCGTGATCACACAGCCAACATCTGCCTTCCATCCCTAACCATTGCAAACACCCTTTAAACCAGTGTATTCTGCTACTAGGTCCCCAAGTGGTGGTATCCTGAGTGCTCCGGTTCTAGCTGCATTATCCCCATCTGATAGCTCTCCGCTGGTGTAGATCCACTTCCTTTTCAGCTGCCTTTTTTTTTTTTTAGCCTCCTCGATGTGCACTTGGGCGAAGCTTCGCCCCAACATTTGTAAAACAGGAAAAAAAGATGCTTAGTTTTAGTCTGTGGACGAGTCCGGGACCTCGCGGAGGCCCTTTTCACTGTAAAAGTTTAAAAGGAAGTCTTTGCTTCAGGGCATGCTTTTCGGGACGGGGTTTTCTGCACCTGCGCGAAGATCTCAACTCTGTGGAGGGCTGCCTGTGCACATGTGCAAAATGAAAAAAAATTAAAAACCCGACGCATGCTGCTGCATGTCGGTAGTGTGAACAGGCATATCACAATGTGCTGCGCAGTCAGGAGGTGAGTGTGATCGCGTTTCTTCTGGATCAAACTGCTCCGGTTCCAACTGGAGCAGTTTATGCCGGCTTAAATGGCCCATCTGAACACACCCATAGTGAAGCTGGTGGTGGAATGTGCAGTCAAGTTGTAGCCAACTTATGGCAACCCTGTAGGGTTTTCAAGGAAAGATACATTCAGAGGTGGCTTGACATTGCATGTGTCTGTGTAGCAACCCTGGACTCTCTTGGTGGTCTCCCATCCAAATACTAACCAGGGCCAACCCTGTTTAGCTTCCAAGATCTGACAAGATAGGGCTAGCCTGGAGCTACGTGGATAGAATTAGAACAAATTCATGTATTTCCATTGAAAACTGCTGGGAGGGTCATTCAAAAGCCATATGTACATGTGGACAAAAGTCAGTTATGTTTTGAGATCTTCACTTTATCTTTAGCAATGAAAACTGTTTCAAGGAAACCATCCAAGAATGTGATTCTATTGCCTCTGCACACCTATCTTTAGCATTTTTTAATTGTAGCCAGGGGTCATTTGGGGGGGACGCGGGGGGACGCCATCCCCCTCGGTGAGGTGCAGGAGGGCGGGGCCTGGAGCTCCCTGCTGGTGCCCGCTGGAGGTCGCCGCCGGCTGTGGGGAGGACACACTTCCGGTGATGTCAGGGGGTGTGGCATATGCTAATGAGTTATGCTAATGAGTCCCCCTAGCTCTTTTTCTACGAAATGACCCCTGATTGTAGCTTTGGGCTGACAATTATCCAAATATTTATTTCAGGGTAGTGTGTTTAACCACAACTTTGCAAAATGATTTGAGGCTTTGTGTTTTCCATATCTCATAGTTCAAGCATAGTCACAATAACCCTACATTGTAATATAGACGCAGCCAATATTTTATTGTCATTAGCCATGCACCAGATTCCACAGAATTTAACCCAGTTTCTAAACACAAGGCTGCATAAGGTACGCAATCATCTTTTTTGTAAATTGGGACTACGATTGCATTTATCCATGCATCAGGGATAAGGCCAGATTTATCAGTCATTGTAAAAAATATGCAAGAGGGGCTGCCCACCAATCAGGGTCTAGTTTTAAAATTTCTGAGAGAATTATATCAGGACCAGCTGCTTTTCCTGGTTTTAATTGGCCAACCAGTTCTTTTATTTCATTGGGTGTTACATGAGGCTAATCTGGTAAGTCCTCAGACAGAAAATCTGAGGGATCCATAGTGCAGACATCATCTTGATGGAATAATGTTGAAAAATATTGATACCACATTTGGGGAGAAATAGAAGACATAGAGGGGGCCTCTGCATGACATGACCCCAAGACTATGGCCCAGAATTTTTTTGTATTATTTAAAATCGTGGCCTAGTATAATTGTTCCCATTGTGTATTAATATATTCAATCTTCTTTCTGTTCATACTCTGTTGTAGTTGGTTCTTAAAGTATTCTATCAGGAAAAAAGGGTCAGTGGTCTCACGGTATTGTCTGAAGACATTGCGTAATTGGGTTTTTAAGTATCTACATTCCCTATCAAACCAGACATTTGTAGGTCTACTACTCCCCGTTTCCACTTTCAAGTTCTTTGCCCAGTGATGTAGATATGTGAGATGTTAAAGCATTATAAACTGTGATCACTGATGAATGTTCATTTGCATCAATTAAGGAGGATCTATACTTTAAAAGTAGGTTTGATTTGAGTAATTGTTGGGGTTTTTGCATAGAGCTATCATTCCATAAGATTCTAGGCAATAGATAGAGCTTGTCAGGTTGGTGTTGGAAATATTGTTGGGTTCTAGTAAAAGGGCTGACATTGAGAGATAAAATAAGTGGAAGATGATCACTGATTATATAATCACCAACAATGAGCTCTAGAACATGAGATTCCAATGAAGGGGAAACTATAAAATAGTCAATTACACTGCAGCCCTTTGTTGAGACAAATGTATATTCTCTAGAGTTGGGAAAATTGGTAAGCCCATTCAGCCAAACTTTAATAAATTGAAGACAAAGTCTGGTGAGATAGATGCCTGCCAAGGAGTACCTTGTAGAAGTGAAAATAGGTGGGAGTGTATCCTCCTGATTAATTTCTATAGCCTTAAAAATATTTTATGATAGTTGCCTACTCTGGCATTAAAATCACCTGCCAAAATTATTTCAGCCAAGGGATGTTCTTCTTCTAGTCTTTCAAGAAAAGAAGTTAGTCATTTCCAATGTTGTTCGAGGGTGCTGTTGGTGTCATAAAACATACCTCTTGATATGTTTTTGATTAATTGGCTTGTGCTTGGCCACACAATGTCTCCTTTTCTGCTCAGGGGGAGAGTCTCAGCCGTTGTTGAGGGCATATGAATTTTGGCTTGTATTGACGTCTCTGAGTTTCCCTTGACCTGGTTGGACTTCTGTAGTAGAAGTTAAATCGATCAGTGGAAAAGAAGGAGAGTTATGGTAGGGCATATCTAGGCTGTTTTTATAAAGGCTTGTTTTGGTGGCATCCAGTCCATCTGCAGTCACTGTTTGTTCCCTGGTATCCCCTAGCATCAGAAGCTTTGTTCTCACTGTCTCCAGTCTGTTGACTATTGCACATTGAACCTCTTTTGGTAAATTTGGAAAAGTTTTTATCAGGTCATCCTCCAAAGACTTATCAAGATTTATGCCTTCATGCACATAGACTAATGGAAATAACTTATCTGAAGATTTAACTGCCCCATGGATTGGAGCCTCCTCCCCCTGACAAGAGAGTTCCATTGGATCAGGCAGCAGGGAGATCAGATCATGCCCCCCCCCTTTAGTCTCGTTACGTTTCTTGGCCAAGAGTGGTACAGGTTTCAGTGTATTTAAAAAGGCACGGGCTGGGAAGATCCCCTTGCCCTTAAAAGTTGCACTCTGCTTCATTATTAAAGATGGGATTCTCACACTGGAAAATGTGAGCAGGACCCTCTGTACCTGGTTTGGTTGGCTGATTATTTCTAGCTCTTTCAAATCAATTCCAAAAATTTTCAACTTAAGTAATAGGCTCAGCACCTATTACTTAATAGCACCTTCCTTTTTGTATTCCATAAGGTCAATCCACCTTGGTATTTACAAATTGACAAACACATTTTTTTTGGCTGAAGGATCAAATGGAGTCTAGAGCTTTCATTACTCTCCTTATGTGACAAAGGGGAGTTTGCTGAGGTCTCTTTACTCCTTGATGGGACAAAGACATTTGAAGGCATATTAGCAGTTTACACAGCAACCAGGCTTTATCTCTTCGGATTTCAAAGTCTTCCTCTCTGCCAACTTCTCGAGCTTCTCATTAATTCCATTTAAACATTCCAGAATATATGTCATAGTCCTGAAAGTCAAGTCTATTA